CATAAGAAACTCGTGTAGTGACGTCATCGACTCACTTTCATCACTGACAACCCGTGTGGGGACAGTGTTACTCAAATATAGCCACCGTGGTATGTATATAGAGGTACCTAACCTATGTAGTTTTGAGGTAACTTGAATTTGTAATGGTGTGTGAATTTCTTGCTAAAGTTAGATGTCTGTTTCATTTTGTCCAACTTGTTATAAAGGATTGTTGAAGTATGTATTCTCGTTGCACACTTTTTGCATGTCACATTCTTGGTTCAGCGTCGAGTCATTTGCGGGGAGCCAGTGGATGCAGATGGCGAGTTGTTGTTCGACGTGGAGGACTAAGGGGGACGTCTTCCGGCTCTTCATGATGATGATGATGATTCTTGGTTCCGCTGAAATAGTACTTAAGTTTACTCTATATCTATTAAAAGTAAGAAGTCACTATTACCGTGTCTTACGAATACCTCTGCCTACCCTTTCGGGGATAAAAAGCTGTGTTATGTTATGTCATCATTACTAATACTACATAATATTTAAATTTAAAACAAAACATCATAACAGTCTAGATTATTATGCTTGGCTAGGTATTTCAGGAGCCATTAGACCACCACAGATGGGGCCCAATAGGGATGATGCCGATACGGAGCCGCGGAGGACTTAACGGGTTACTGGTGCTCCAGCTCAAAGTGCAGAAGTAGGAAAGGAGTGATTTTTAGTCAGAGGAGTTCGGAGTGATTCAAGAGTCTAACACTTCCTCCCGCCTTACCCAGGCGGGAGCAGTCATTCGATGATTTTTTCCCCTTTAAAAAAATACCATGATAAGAAATACCATGATGAGTTTTTACTAATTTTATAATCATTCCTGTGTAATAGGGATTGCTCCTAATAACGGTTACTAAATGCACTAGTTACAAATGCAGAAAACTAACCCGAGACTTCTTACTTGGCAGTTGCTCTTGTCATGATAAGAAATACCATGATGAGTTATTACTAATTTTATTATCATTCCTGTGTAATAGGGATTGCTCCTAATAACGGTTACTAAATGCACTAGTTACAAATGCAGAAAACTAACCCGAGGCTTCTTACTTGGCAGTTGCTCTTGTTATGATAAGAAATACCATGATGAGTTTTTACTAATTTTATTATCATTCCTGTGTAATAGGGATTGCTCCTAATAACGGTTACTAAATGCACTAGTTACAAATGTAGAAAACTAACCCGAGACTTCTTACTTAGCAGTTGCTCTTGTCATTACTAAATAATATTTTGCCTCGTGCAAAAACCACACTTGTAATATCGTCTCCATACGGTAATAACATAAATGAATTGAGCCAAATTAAACCACCTTACCTATCAACCTATAAATACTATCTTTACCGAACACTTCATGTACCAAACGTCTGACCCGGGCGGGAGAAGTCATTGCATGATTTTCCACCTCAAAAACAAAATTATAAAAAACAGACTACCTAACTACCGCCCTATAAAACGGTTTAGCTATATTATTAAATCTATTAATAAACAGCAAACCTCAGTACCGGGTTTGTATCATTAATATTTATAACTTTATGCTAATGTGAGACACCATTTATAACTTAAAAGTACATAATTCAGCACTTAAAGCTTTTATATTTTATTCCTTATTTCATTGTTCTCGACCGACATCCGTTACTTTTTATAAAATTACTTTTGTTCAAACTTTCTTCTTGTTTTAAGACCTTTAGATAAAGATTTTTTAGTAATGATAACGAAAGATTCAGATTTTTATGAGGGCTTTTTTTATAGCATAAGCCGGTAAACTAGCAGACGGATCACGTGATGGTAAGCAATCGGCGCCGCCCATGGACACCCGAAACACCGAGGCGTTACAAGTGCGTTACCGGCCTTTTGGGAATTGGGAATTTAAGGATTGTGGAGGATTCGGGGATTTGGGAGACTAGGGAGGGGGGTAATTGGGCCTCCGGTAACCTCACTCGAATACGACGAAACACAACGCAAGCATTGTTTCACGTCGGTTTTCTATGAGGCCATGGTATCACTCCGGTCAAGCCGGCCTATTCGTGCTGAAGCATGGTTCTCCCACACTTGAAAGGGCTGACGATGACACAGGGTTTAATGCTAAACCTTATCATTTTATACTTAACATCACGTCTTTTACCCCCGAAGGATAGGCAGAGGTGCACATTACAGCACTTAACTCGTCGAGTACCGGTTTTATAGACACAATTAAAGAACAATAGGTAGCGGTCACCGGTGACCGCTTGGTGTTTGACAGTTTAATGCCACTGTACAATGTAACACCCACTTTTCACAATTTTTGTTATGAGTGCCATGCAATAGATGGTGAGCCTATTGCCATATACCGAGCACAATTCCAGGCTCCGTGCTACTATTGATTTTGTTTTAAAGAACCCAGTAATACTTTGACCGTTTCGGGAAACGAACCCGAGACTCCCAATATAAACATTTTGAGAACCATTATGTGAAACAAAAGTATAGCTTGATCGAGGCATTTGCTGAACAACTTAGATTTGGGTTTAGTTTGAAAAAAATGTGACATGCATTTATGTTGGTGTCTAGGTATATACGTCTAGTCTATACCTCTAAAGAAATCTAAGTCTGGGCTACACGATCTTTATTTCAGGACACATACAAGTGATATTGCGATACTGTTTTTGTAAAAAGGCTTTATTTTTTGACAAATACATCTATGAAAACCACATTTGTGATCAGTAGTTTTCATGTAATGCGCACACAGAAACACACACACACAAATAATTTTAAATATATGTTTGGTTTCTATATTGCTTGCCTGCCGACGATGAATGTAAAGGAACATTACGACTATAGTCATAATCTTCACCTTCTTAGGTTGATGTGTACGTACACCTTGGCATCCAATGCATTTTAAAAAAAAACATTGCCCCACACTAGGATTTTCTTCTGTGTCGTGAGTGTGTTTACAAACATACAAGTTCACATACACATGACAACCAGACCCGTAACAACAATTTGTACACCAAGTGTTGTTTCGTGCGGGAATCGAACCCGCGACCCGTTGCACGGCAGCCGGTTGCCTAGTCACCGCACCAACCGTGCAGTCAAGCCAACGATCGAATTGACAAACAAGCTGGCGGGGCATATTATATACATGCAGCATAGCATGCAGTTCAGCTTGACGCACCTATATCCGTCTACGTTTTCTGTAACGATATTATTGTATGGACATTTCTCATCCATTTCAGTAGGTCATATGGTCAACACAAACCCATAAACAAATCAAGGCATCCCCAGATTTCTATAATATTGATATACTAGCATCCCGCCTCGGCTTCGCACGAGTGGAATATGTATTATACATATAAACCTTCCTTAAGAATCACTATTATCGGAATGCTAAAACGCTACTCAATTTTAAGTCGTGCTTAAGTATAGTTCTATCTCTACATTTTTTTTGTAAAATGACAGAGATGGCACGATATTTGAGCACAACTTAAAATTGAGTACCTAACGTTTCAGTATTCCGGCATATATCTATTAAAAGAAACCGCATCAAAATCCGTTGCGTAGTTTTAAAGATCTAAGCATACATAGGGACAGACAGACGGTGGATAGCGACTTTGTTTTATACTAAGTAGTGATTATACTATTATTTTTAATATAGAAAATAAATAAATAAATACACGAAAAAATTCTAATTAATAATTTTTATATTTCATTTTCTGTAATTTACTTACGGTACTTACATAAATAAAAATAACTTACATTAGGTAATTGATACGCAGTCCTCATTCAATATTATAATAAAAAAGAAGTAATACTGTCAAACATCACAATATACTTTTATAATTTTTTAATAAGATTTATTATATAACAAATATTTAAATATAAATTTTGCATATCTATTCAATTCAATAACTATATTTACTAAAATCCTTATATTATAATTAAGTACTTACAATTCATAAAAACGATTAGGTACTCATTGCACACTTATATAAAAAAAACATAACATTTTCCAAAGTGACGCATCTAAACTTAGAAATCAACAATTATATCTAAAATAACAGAGTGATTAATTTAACCACTCATATATTAATTCTAATTTATAATAATTATGATTACTAATAATATAACTTAAAAATAATTATATTTACATTATATGCTATTATCACATGGACATAAAATTCGATTTTCCATACATTCTCTCGCGCATCTTTCGATTATAATCGATTAATTGACATGTCGGAGTGTCTTATTTATTATAATAATTATTATTATTTTATATTTACATTCATATTTACTAAGTTTTACTAATAATTGAGATATAATTAAGTGGAGAATGAAGTCTCTAATATATAAAATATTATATATGTAAAGGCAAGATACAAGGCACGAGAAATCATTTGACATTGTTAAATATATAAATATACATACACACATGTATGTATATAGGCAATAGAATAGATTTTTAAGTTATAATTTAATAGTTATTTTGATCTTCTACTTATACTATTAAATGCCTAACGCCTACATCCTGTATCATCGTGTTGATCCATTTTTATTAAAATAATTTATTAAAATCGATTTGAAGACATTTTCGACCAAAAACAAATCTAAGGCCTGAGACTCTGAACTGAGCATTTTATAAATTCATAATCCTTACGTAATTTATATTAGCTACAGAAATAAAATTCAATAAAGAAACTGGCATTGTCAAAGATACTCTAATCTTCTAGAATTTGCATTTTAAAAATATTTGCTACGTTATAATCCAACACGATTTTATAAGCCTCAATCTAAATATATATATTACTCAAAGGTGACTGACTGACTGACAGTAATCTATCAATTGAAAATAAATATCACTCTTCTCCATTACAAACGTACAAAAGCGTCTCAAGAACTGCAAAAATCACCCTTATTGCCACACTCGAACAATCCATTTTAACACTAAAATGGCACGCACATGCTTTTCAAATAGGACGTTTTAAATCTAATGGCAGGAATCACAATCGTGTTCTTACAAGTGATGGTGTAGGAGATCTTCTTACATCATATACATCAAATAATCGACTTCCAGTGGTCACAAAGACTCCTGGTTTCTGATCTACTGGTTCATTTGGTGTCATATCAGTTACGGTTTCTTCTGTCTTCTCAGAAGAGTCCTTTTCTCCTTCTTTTTCATCAGGAATTGCTGGTTTCTCTGTGCTGTAAAACCTCTTGGGTCCTGGAAGCTTTTTCGCTATTTGTGCTACCACTGGGTGCAGTAGACGTTCATCAAAAGCGTCCTTTTCACTGCCTGTTAGCAGGCCGATAATATTGCCTAGTGTTACACAGATTAAGGTACCAATGACGGCGTACCACATGTAGGATATTGAGTAGAATTTTTGCAGCCCTGTTAATCTGTAAAAAGAACAGTTTAATTAGGAATTTGAATAAGAGGCTAATGCTATTGATTATACGAAAAAGAAATGTAACTAATGTACACATCTGTTGCTGGGATCAGCTCGTCATTAAGTTTTGTGGGATTATTTTAAAAATTTATTTAAGTATTTTAGTGGCTAAGTCTGTTAATATAACATAACATCACGCCTTTTATCCTCGAAGGGGTAGGCAGAGGTGTACATTATGCCACTGTACAATGTGACACCCACTTCTCACTATTTTATGTAAAGTGTCCCCTGTAATAGGGGGTGAGCCTATTACCATATACCGGGTACAATTCCAGGCTCCGTGTTAATACTGAGAATTTTTAAAAAACCAAGTATTACTTTGCCCGACCCGGGAATCGAACCCGAGATCCCTTGCCCGGCAGTCGCACTTGCGAGCACTCGGCCAACGAGGCAGTCAAAGCTGTTTAACTGCCTACTTTAAACTTAAATAATACTTACATAGGAGATTCAGTGGGTATAGGATGAGTCATGTTGATAGACTGCAGTAGTGGTGCAAGATGTGCTAGCGTTACGTTCACTTCAACAGGCAAAGCTTGGTGGCTCAGTGTCGATAGAGTTGCATTGGGACATTGCTGGAAAACAAAATAATACATTTTATAGAATAATAATAATAAATGTCCTACATTTTCATCCTTATCATAATCGTTATAAAGATTAAAATAATACACCTATGTTTTACTATCAGAAGCTTAGATCTGTTTTTGATTGAATTGAATCGGCCTCTTTCACAAGCATGATATGTTTGTCTATTACTTTATTACTATTCTTAACCTCTTTTCTACGTCCTTTATTCTCATCTAATTAGTACGTATTTCTATAATTATTAGTACCCCATATTCATGTATTAAGTCACTAATTGCTCAAGTCGAACTACTTCAATAGCACGATATAAATCACGACAGAGGGCGCGTTGGACCCGCACCGCAGCAGACTCTAGTAGCAAATAGCAGCGAATTATTTCAATGATTGACTAAACGGCTGGTACGGTGGCTGGGCAACCGGCTGCCGTGCATCGTGTCGCGGGTTTGATACCCGCACAGAAAACACAAGTATGTGATCCACAAATTGTTATTTCTGGTCTGGGTGTCATGTATATGTGAACTTGTATATTTGTAAACACATCCACGACACAGGAGACAATCCTAGTGTGGGGCAATGTATAAAAATAAAATATATAATTGCGGAATTCTGCTCATGAATGTGGCTTGCGTTAAGTATGGCTTGGAACAAGTCAAGTTTCTGGTCGGACAGTTACGTGAATAAGTCGAAAACAAATAAAGTAATGAAGATAAAACCAACCTCAGTAGACATAGGCAACATGGCGACTCCTTTATCGACATACAGAAGCCTGCAAGCTGCCATCCAAGTAGTTACTATATGGGATCCGATCATGCCCCATAAAGCTCCTTTCCCATTGGCAACAGGACAAAGTGCCGCTAATATAAAAACTCCTAATAAGGCTCCTGAGGTAGCTGATGTGACTAGCTGTGATCCTTCCACGACTCCTCCCACAATGCCGACGCATAGAGATAGGCACATGATGATGAGAGCTGTAAAAAAATATATAGTTGGTAAAGAACAGTCCTTTTTTGAAATCAGCCTAAATGTTTAAATATGTACAGTCGATGCTGCCCAGCAGCAGATTCTCAAATATTTTAATGTATTTATTAAGTGTTGAATCGTAACCATCATTATCAACAACCTATAAATGCACACTGCTGAGCAAAGCCTCTTCTCACATGGAGAAGGATTGAGCATTAATCGCCACGCTTGGTCATTGCGAATTGGCGATTTCAAAAATTAGAAATTATAAGTCAGGTTCCTCACGATGTTTCCCATCATCGTTTTCAGTGGTGTCTAAATAATCTTGGAAAGTACAAATAACTCGGAAAAGTCACATTGGTACTTGTCGTGGATAGGTTTCGAACCCGCAACCACGTGGTTGCGGGTTCTCATGCACGAGCATGAGAAGAATTTTATTAATTTTATCATTTATTTCATTTTATTAATGGTAACAATTACGTAAAATTCTGAATTGATTTAAAGAACTCGGAATAAAGAACATAATTCAAATAATTATGTTTGTAAATGAAAAAATGAAACGCATATTCTTGACTTCATGGATAACAATTGAATACTTCATCATTATGACAATGTCTTTAGTATGTATTAAAATCGAAAGAACGATAAACACAGCCATTAAGTATGGTACATTCCCTTCTCAAACATAATCTTACCATAAATAACTCCAATGATTTTGATAACAGTCAGCTGTTGTTTATCACTGATGCCCTTGAAAGCCGGTGCGAAGGACACAAAATCTTCCCAAGTCACCGTCGATAGAGAGTTCACGTTTGATACCAGGAAACTGCAATAAAATAATGAATTACATTAATGTTAATGTTAAATAACAACTTAAGGAAAAGGTTTAAAAGAAAGGCCACAGTATTTTCTCACGCCCTTTACTTGATAATGGCTATAAACTTCTTTAAAGCCATAAAACAATAAAGGCATATCTAACTGAATACTTCGCCAGCTGTAGAAGTGTAAATATTTTACGTATGTGACGTATCGTATGATCGAATGTTATGACCTGATTTTTATGTGCATTATATTATAGGTACTATAGTTATTTACACAGCTGTTTTAAAAATTACCAAACAAACTTAACTAACCTCAATGCGCCATTAAATAGACTGCCCAAAAACAATCCAAGCATTCCAGGTAAGAAACCAAACTGGTCTTGGACGTAGAAAGGCAAAACTTCATCAGGAGCTGCGATCTTTCCAGACGAAAGAGGGTCACAGTACTTGTACATAGCATACAAAGTCATGCCAACGACCCAGGAGAGACTGAAGAGGATAGCTACAGCTGGAACGTTGGCGAAAAGGGTCTTTCTGACTCTGGCTTCACTAGACATGGAACAGTAGCGCTGGACGAAGGTTTGTTGGCAGCCGTAGATGGATACTGACATGAAGAGCTGGCCAATGATCGCTGAGAGCGTGTCGACACGGACGGTTGGGTCGCCTGTAAATCTGGAAGATTGAATAGTTTTATGTTTAGTCTTATTTTGCACAAAACTAAAGGCATTGTCAGATGCCATGGTGAAAATTATAGTCCATACATTAGTATCCAATCCTGTTAGGACATTAAAGTAAATTATACTTACTGGAAAAACTTCAGTCTTCCACCCTCGATGTTGTCGCTGACCACTTGTTGTGGACCACCAGCTGTGATTGTTGCTTGAATGATGAAGGCACCGCTCACCAGTATCATTGTCAAAGTTTGTATCACGTCAGCTCTGGAATAGATAATACTCAAGATAAATGAGTAGCTCTTAATACTGAGGCAATAAGACAAATGTATGGAAGAGATTTCTTTCTTGCAGTGACTTGTTCAAAGAATAATTATATGTATCTTTTTGGCTGTAGCATCGCCCACGGCCCTTAAATGGCCACTTTCATATCAAGCAATTAAACAATTTAACCTGCCTCAAGACTCATTAGGTTGACTAGTAAAAACCACAAAAAATCAGTTGGTACGTTTTTGATCATAGAATTGCAAACTGGCAAACATTCCAAGGACATTAATTGAGCTAAAGATTCTATTACCTGATAGCAGCAGCCAATCCTCCAAGCAAGTTGAACACAATGCCCACGATAGTCAATGCAGCAGCTGATGCCCAATGCGGTAGTGCCAGTACAGCGTGAAGAGCCACAGTAGGAGTGTACACTGTCACTGATAGATTTAGGACTTGTCGTAGAAGGAAGGTTGCAGCTGCCATGCGTCGTACCCATCGGGAGCCGAATCGCATCTGAAGTTGATTAAAAATAAGGTTAGAAAAATTGTTCTTCACAAAATCATTTATGCAAGGAGATAAAACGTTCAGAGAAACCTTAAAGAAGATAAGGTAATAGACATGATGAAAGAATTGTTTTTTTAAACGTACCTTATTTTCATTTCAGATATTTACATCTTGTTTGGTATAACACAAAAATAAGAGTGCATAATTTTGACCTATGAATGGGCAGTAAATGACCAATGTTTCATTTGAGGCATTACGTCTTTGGGTTATCAAGAAAAAAAATTGAGAACAACTTTGATCCATGAATGGGGAGTTATTAACTTCACTGCCCATTCATGAATGCCGAAATAAAAGACTGTTTGATTGTGTGAGCAATTATATATATGAAAAAGAAATGACTCTTATATCTCTATCTCAACTCTCAAGGTAGGATTTATAAATGGAAAACAAAAGAAACTTACTTGTAAATATTCATACACGGAGTTGGTATGTAGCCTATAGTAGACCGGTACGAAGACCCAGCAGACGATGGGAAAGGCGAGGATAATGCCGTATAATGTCTCCCACATCGCAGAGCCATAGTAGACCAATTCAGATGGAAACCCTGGAAATAATGAAAACTTAGCATTAATACAAATATATAAGCATATAGAGACTGACTCGTTGGCCAAGTGGTCGCAAGTGCGACTGCCGGGTAAATGGTCTCGAGTTCGATTCCCGGGTCGGGCAAAGAATTACTGGGTTTTTCAAAAATCTCAGTAGTAGCGCAGAGTCAGGAAATGTGCCCGGTATATGGCAATAGGCTCACTCCCTGTTACATGGGACTTATAACATAAATAGTGAAAATTGGGTGTTACATTGTACAGTGGCATTAAGTGCCGAAATGTGCACCTCTGCCTACCCCTTCGGGGAAAAAAGGCGTGACATTCATGCTGATCTGTTTAAATGTTGTCTGAGATAGAAAGTCATACATTTGCATTTCAGTGCTTTCAATATTTTGGCAGGGACGTGAGTCTTGGTGGAGACCATTTCGTCAATTTATTATTCAAGAATTTAAAAAATACTTCGTCTAATCTAAGTCTATTTCATAAACTATTGTTGTGACTCTTGACCTAGACTAAATCGTCAAAACATTTTATTTCTATTTTTAAAATAGATGACCCATGACTAAATATTTTGGAAAATTTTCTAGTTCATCGAACGAAGTCGTGTGTCAACATTATTTTCGCAATTCAGGCATTTCACTGACTAAATACTTGACTCAGAATAAATATTTTTAGTACCTATGTAAACGAGGTGTAATTAGTGTATTTTGGCGCGTTTTCAAAACTAATTGTTTTGGTTACTACATGTAGTTTTGAAAATAAGCCGAATTTAAATGACTGACATTGGGTATTGCCCATTTAATGTATTTGGAAGAGCATGTTCCCAATATGAGTCATATGATGGATCGCAAGATTTACCTTCGGGTTAAGTTCTTTGCTCATCTTTTCATTCTGAGAAATTGAGATGTTTCCTTATCCAAAATACAAGGAAAAAGGGACGTAACATTTCACCCGAAACAAATGAAATCATATCGTGGTTTAATTTTAACTAGTCCATGTTACAATGATGGGTTAAAACCACAACGTCATACCATTTAAAGATCTTCCAATAGATTATTTAATTTTAATGTTCTTAGACCATGTCATATAAGTCATCATCATGATTATCAACAGCCTATAAATGCCCACTGCTGAGCAAAGCCTCTTCTCACACGGAGGAGGTTTGAGCATTGATCACCACGATTGCTCATTGTGGGTTGGCGATTTCAAACTTATGATTGGAAATTATAAGTCCAGGTTTCCTCACGATGTTTGCCTTCATCGTTATGATGTCTAGATATTCTTAGAAAGTAGATGTAACACGAAAAAGTCGCATTGGTACTTGCCGTTGGTAGGTTTCAAACCCGCACTCTCGTGCATGAGAAGCGGGCGTCTTAATCTACGGGCCACCACGATTGCATTTGAGCACCTCGTGTTATTTTTTATTGATTTTACTTAATTGTACTAATTGTCAACATCGTAACTTCAGTTCATTGGCACGATAATACACTTAATCCTTAAGCCTGTGCTAATTGTTTGAAGGTTTTAGAAACCTTTTGGTGTTAGCACGTTTTGGCACACACATCACGGTTTTGGCCACGTGTTTAAATGAAAGACGGTCAGTCTTTCATTTCGGACATGAGTAGTATCATAATGTTACGTCACTCTTATTAAAAGTACTTATTAAAGAATCCACACAATTTATTTATTGCTACAACCCCTTTGCCGTAATATGGCATAATGGGGATAATTTCTATTCTTGTTATGAACATTTTTTAATTAATAGAAAATTTCTAATGCTCAAACATAAATAGTGAAAAGTGGGTATTACATTGTACAGTGGCATTAAGCGTAATTTGCACCCCTATCTACCCCTTGAGGATAAAAGGCGTGATCTTATGTGTAGCTAAGGATTTCTAAAAATGGAAAACAGAATAATATACTGCACTTACGGAAAACACGCAGACGAAACAACAATTCGTATAAAGCTAAAATTTACCGATTTTCTATATTAACAGAGAAAAATAAAACTCATGTTTGTGTTAGTAATCGAAAGCTAGCTAATACTTATTTTCAGTCTATTTTTATAGCTAAGCGTCTTACTGATAAATATTTAAATTTTCTATACAAAATTGCAATTTACTGTAATCTATTTAATTATAATGAGTGCCATTTACAATTACCTGAATCGATTTTAACTTATTTTAATTAGACACGACTATGTATTATACCGTTACTCATAAATTTCAACGATTTTTTTATGCTGCACGTATGATTTGATAGTAAATGTGAATCAAATCGGTTTTAGAATGATTTCTTTGTGGGATAAGCCGGCAAACGAGCAGATGGATCACCTGATGGTAAGCAATCGGCGCCACCTATGGACAGTGGACACCCGAAACACCAGAGGCGTTACAAGTGCGTTACCGGCCTTTTGAGGGTTACGAATTTGAGGATTTTTGGGGATTCAGGTATTGGGGGAGATTGGGGAGAGCGCTAATTGAGCCTCCTTGGTAAGCTCACTCACACGACGAAACACAACGCAAGTGTTGTTTCACGTCATTTTTCTGTGAGACCCGTTCCGGTCGAGTCGGCTCATTCGTGCCGAAGCATGACTCTCCCATACTTAAATGTACTTTAAGGAAGCAATATAAATTAAAAAACTAGATTACATAAACTGGAACCCATTAATAATGGCAGAATTATGTATCGTTCATTGTATACACGTAATTTATTGTTCCAGACCGCTAAACATAACATAACATCACGTCTTTTATCCCCGAAGGGGTAGGCAGAGGTGCACATTACAGCCCTTAATGCCACTATACAATGTAAAATCCACTTTTCACTATTTATGTTATGAGTCCCATGTAATAGGGGGTGAGCCTATTGCCATATACCGGGCACATTTCCAGACTCCGTGCTACTACTGAGATTTTTACAAATACTATTATTAATACTATTACCCAGTAATACTTTACCTGACCTGGGAAACGAACCCGAGACCCCTTGCCCAGCAGTCGCACTTGCGACCACTCGGCCAATGAGGCAGACCGCTAAACAATACAATATAATAAATGTATTATACTTTACTTTTTTACTTATTTAACACCAATGCCTGTTTCCACCATCTTTAAAATTTAAGGAACCGTGAAGCTAAGATAGGTTTTTTATGGAATAGGAGGCAAACGAGCAGACAGAACACCTGATGGTCAACGATCAACGCGCCCGTGGACAGCTGCAACACCAAAAGAGTCACAGGTGCGTTGCCGGCCTTTTAAAAGGGATATGCTCTTTTCTTGAAGGTTTGAAGGTCGTATCGGTTCGAAAATACCGCCGACGATAGATCATTCCACAGTTTTGCTGTGCGAGGCAGAAAGCTACGTGAGATGTTGCCTCCCAACCGTCTATATGATAGGGATGGATATATAGGTGACCTTTAACAACATTTTGGTTTTCACCTACCATTGATACTTAACATTACAAGTAAGGGGTTAGTTTAGGCGTTACGTCACACTTAGTTCCTAACTTTTAATTAAGAGATGGTTTATTAGGAGTGGTTGATGGATACGGCCATAAGATCTTTGACAAACGTTAATCACACCCAGACCTTGGATACTCAATTTTTGGTTATCAGTTGTTACATGCGGTACTCAAACCCGCAACACGTTGCCAAACAGCCGATTGCCTAAACACGAGGATAATCGATCAGTCAATTAGCACCTTGTTCATGAAATCTGTATATTTCTACCATGAGTTTAAAGTAATAGTATAGTCGATAGCGACGTCGTATTTTTTTATAATACCTACATTTTATTAATTTAATAAACATTGCCCCACTTTAGGATTGTCTCCTGTATCGTGGGTGCGTTTACAAACACACAAGTTCACATACACAATAACACCTAGACCCGAAACAACAATTTGTGGATCACACAAAGTGTTGTTCCGTGCGGGAATCGAACCCGCGACACGTTGCATGACAGTTGCTAAAGAGATTGTTTATTTATTTAAATGCGCTAATCTCAGGATCTACTGGTCCAAATTGAATAATTATTTTTGTGTTGGAGAGTCCTTTTATCAAGGAAGACTATAGGCTATAAAACATCACGCTACAAATAACAGAAGCTAAGCAGAGTGAATGAAACCGCGCGGTATTAGATAGTTTGTTATACAAATATTTACGTCGTCGGTATCGAGTATCAACAAAATCTCCGGGTTTAAATTCAGTGTAAAGGAACCGAAGAGAAATCCTAAGCAAACGTAGGTCATGTGGCAATTTCTGTATCAAATGATTCAATACTATCAGCTGATGTTCTTAGAATAATGATATAATCATAAAACATTGTACAATCCAATTTGTCAAGCATTGAACACATTAACGCATAATGGCAGGGAATATTATTACAACGAATAAAAATGCAACTTAAGAATATGATAATACAGTTCTCATTGTAGGGATAGGATCTAAATATAGTTTTAACTTATAGATTTTTGATATTTTCGGTAATAGCTTAAGAGTTTGAAACATGTCAATAGACAATCGAACGCACAATTGCTTACCTATAAGCCTATTATACTTTTGATACCTATTACTTAAGTGTAAAGTATCGAATAAGTAATTTTTATTGTTTAACTGTATAATAATAAATATATATAAAATAATATATAATAAAATATGCATGTGCTTATAAATAAATAAATAAGTTCATTATTATCATTATAACAGATTTACTAAAAGAAAAAATCGTTTTGTGTCGACAATGCTCAATGAAAATTGAACTCTATTGTTATATTTTTTATCACAACTGAAGCATCCTTTTTCATACTTTTCGACTGATGTGAACAAGAGCTAATATAGACTTGCTCATCCAAACGTCATCAATCATCGGAGTCATTTCTTGGCAATCAGTGTTTCCAAGTCATGCCGGTGAATATTTGACATTCGAAGAGGCGCCTCTTACGTCACTTTTATAATTATAACATTGTATTTATATAAACACTAGCGGACCCGACAGAC